GGAATAAAAGACATCAAAAAAGGTCGAACTTACTTTTATATCGTTTTTGGAACTGCCTATTGGAGGCAGGATACAGCATCGTGATGTGAGAAATGGTGATATCAGTACGACTCCCTTCCCAGAACTTTGTTGTTGTTTGTTGAGTTGAGTTGAACATGAACGAACATGACCCCCTCCCGCAGTAATTTCACCCTCAGTAGCGCGATCGATCGCGCGATCCAAGCGATCCGATCGCGCGATCGCGAAGTCTGAACGCGCTCTAAGGCGGCATTCATACTTTACGGCAGCGTCCACCAGCATTCCCAGCCTCTAGCAGCGTCAGCGACTAGGAAAGTTTAGATATCGATGTAGCGTCTGCGAGCGCCTTGATGGCTAGGGAAGTATGAGTATCGATCCAACGTCTGAGAGCGTTTAGCAGCGACCAACAGTGTCCAGGAGTGGACAGTATGGTGAGATAGGAGACTGCTGGTAGGGAGTATGAGGCGATAGAGGGGTAGCAGGCAGCTGGTAAGGTATGGGGAGATAGGAGGGTAGCAGACTGCTGGTAGAGAGCATGGAGCGATAGGAGATTAACCGACAGCTGGTACCTTCCTATCGTCCCATCTCTACCAGCCGTCTGCTGCTGTTTCTGGTGGACGTTGGTAGACGCTGCTGGTCGCTAGATCGATAGCTAAACTTCCCTAGACCTCGAAACGCTGCTAGTCGCTGGCGGACGCTGGCAGACGCTAGAGATATCTACACTTTCCTAGCCGCTGACGCCAGAAGCTCGGAACGCTGGTGGACGCTATTCGTTACTGTACGCTGCCACAAAATATGAACGCAACCCAAGAGGAAATTATGGATTCAGTGACAGAATCACGTTCAAACAGCTCACTATGTCTAGCCATAGCAGAAAGGGAGATAATGGTTGGGCCAGCGAAATCCTTGGTTTGAAAAAAGGGCAGCCCTTCTGACATTGATCCATTTCCTTCCAGAATGGGGCACACACTCTACTTCCACTCGAAATCACAGTGTTTTAGTGACTGCAATCTGGTATATATAATGACTTGCGGGTCATCAAGTGTTCAGGAAGGTGTTCATATTCTTGAAGACCGGCACCAGTCTCTCGTTTAGGGAGGGTAGAAGGCCCTGTTGGCCTGAGCGGGAGTCACTCCGAGATTCAACTCCCGGACCTTGAGTGTGGTAAGCGGACGCCACATGTAACTAAAGCCCTTCTACCCAACCAATGTTATGATTAGAAACAGTATGAGATTCAAACCCATCTCGCCAATGGGCTAATGAAGACTGAAATTGGAACATAGCAATGTAACCCCAAAATGGTGTGTGATGCAACTTCTGGAGCGTTTCCAGCTTCACAAACGGAATCCCGCTGAGCACAGTATGAGTCAGTTTACGTGAAATCAGTCAAGCATTTTGTTTAATATGATGAAGCACTGAATCAGCTGAGTTGCGCTTATTTTTAGAGAAAGAATCCTATGACCTTCACCTTCGAACCCACTCCACCCACTCCACTTATTGTCTTGATTACTGATCGAATTCTCAGCCGAAAGTGGGTGAAGACTCTTACTCTCTTATGGTTCCTGAAAGAACGTATCCAATAGTGCCTCCGAGTCCAATCGCACCTTCAATACCAGCTATTCTAACACTTCTGCGTGACGTCTTTGTCGTCTTAACACCATAACTGAGGGACGTCGCTAAACGGATATAGTATGTTTTCGTTGTGGTCTGACGCTAACAATGGCAACTGAAGACACAATCAGAAAACGTTACATATTATGGAGACATATCCACCACAGATACCGAAGAGGGCGTCACTGATCAGCAATAGATAGATAGACCCATTCATGTATGTTGTCTGTATAATATAGTTTGTCGTACAAAATATCAGACCGAAAAAGGGTATCAACAACGGCACTTTGATGCTCCATGAGTCCGATGCTGGAATTGATGAGAATGGAAGGCGCTTTTCGAATAGTAATCGAACCGGTGGAATGGGAAAAAGAACTACAATGGTTATTTATTTTATGCTTACCAAGTTCATTCTGATGTTTTTGGGGGAATTACCCTACTTTGATGTGGAGGTTTGATTCGCAATATAGTTGTGAATCCCTGAATGTTTTTGCTTGGTATTCTGACCTAGTTATAGCAAGTAAGTAGCGTTCATACTCTGGATCAGCGTCCACCAGCGACCACCGCGTTCACCGCACTCCAGCGCCAGCGACTAAGAAAGTATGGATATAGATCTAGCGAAAGCCAGCGTCAACCAGCCGAGGGACTATGGAATTGGTAGCGATATAGCGTACGCCTGCGTCCACATCGTTTACAAGCGTAGCGCCCAGGAGTGGGGAAGTAGGAGGGTAGCAGATAGCTGGATTAGATGTCGTGAAATTGCATCGCGTGCAAGCACACCATGCGCACAGCTGCACTACACCGCGCATCAAAATTACATTCTGGGTTTTAGCAGTTGTGCTGGGAAACGCCGGCGTTCGGTAGATCGATATATACACTTTCCTAGTCGTGGCGCTGGAGTACGCTCGAAGCGCTGGTGGTAGCTGGTGAACGTTGACGCAAAGTATGAACGCAACCTAACACGCCTACTTGTGATATGGTTAAAAACCGCAATTCCAAGTACACTTTGCGACTCGAGAGAGTAGTCCAATAGGAGGATAGGAGAATCGTAATCTGACGTTTCCGGAGAACGCATGCTAGAGGACTGACTAGATGAGAATCGATCGACTCCGACCATTAGCCATTCTGCAGGAAATGAAAATCGGCGAATCTGCAGAATTTTCTGCAAATTTCCAATCGCAGATTCTTTTATTCTCCTCTTCTTCCGAGTCGCAAAGTATGAACACAGCAGACGGCTGAGCGTGTTTGTTTGCGCTCTCCCACCAAGCTAGCGACTCCTTTCCATATCAGGCTCAGCTTCAAGAGTGCAAACGATCAAACTTTAGATTACTTTTCCATGCCAGCCTATAGCCTCTCTCCTGGTCACAAAGCATGTCCAGCACTGTCCGAAGCTTAGTCAGCCGTTGCCCGTTACTCATCTTTTAAACTTTTTGCGACGAAACCATCCCATGTTTAAAAGGTTACGTAGACTCGACTTCCTGCTCCCATCCGCAACCTCGAACCTAATCTATCCGTCTATCTATCTATCTATCGTTCATTGCCTTTCCCCTACCCGGTATACGACCCCCATGTTCTCGTATTGGCAATAGCGTAATTAGACACGTTCTAGTGCGCCTCTGTATCCCTTTTCCAAAAAGCTTCAGGCTTAGAGAGGAGATGACTCGGATCGAGAATAGATAGAGAGGACATAGTCTCCACTGAGTATAAGCCTTGATCAGGTGAGGGATATGGAGGACTGGTTAGTGAAGCCCACAACTGCTTTAGCAGGAAATCTGCTGGGTGAGGGGTAGGTGGGGGAAGTCTAAGTAATCATCAGCCGATCTCACGCTGGGACAAGAAAGAACACCCCAGGCGAGATAATGTTTGAAATAGCTTATTATTGCAGAAAGCTATGACTATGAAGTAGCGGAGCAGAATTGTCTAAAAATGCTCCAAATCAAATAGTATACGCAAAATGGCCCACTTCACCTGCTCCTAATGCAAGCGTTGAAAAAAGGGAAGGAATAGTGAGCACTAGTGACGACAAAAAGTAGAAATAATTAGCATCCGCTTGTACAGCCTTATCGTTGTAGTAAGCCGTCACGTTTGAGCACAAACTTTCGTCCTTAAAGTTTGAGAAGTTAGCGAACTGTAACGGAAATAAAAGGGAGTGAGGTGGGAGTGCGTTCATACTTTGTGGCAGCGTTTTGAGCGCCTGGCAGCCTTTTGATCGACTAGGGAACTATGAGCTCGATCCAGCGTTCCCAGCAATTATAATCGATACCCATACTTTGTAATCCGCTCAAAAAGCTCAGGACGCAGATGAACGTTGAAAACGTTGCCGCAAAGCAGGAACGCACTCTGACGGCAATCAGCGCTCATTTTGGCAACGATTTTGAGAAACTAACCTGAGCATATCGTGCAAGACACGCTTTCTCGTAAATCAGGTTCTGGAACACCGGATACTTCAGGAAACTGGTCAACATATAAAGAAACAACGGAATTTCCATTCTGATGTACTGCCGAAGAAATCTCACAATCTCAGTCAGCATACCTTTAAGCTTTAACATGAGCGTGAGAAATAAATGTACTACCACTACAACCAAAGTGCAGTTAGAAAGTCCTCTAGCAAGAAGATGAAGAAGAAGACAATTTTATGCCTTCTCGTGCATACAAGATTCTCTTTCAGACAAGAATGTATAAGTGTACGCTCGCTACAGATTGTCCCAATTTTAGGTCTTGCTCCCATTGCTAAAACCGCTGTTGAAATCGGTAATTTGGCGTAGCATACCACGAGAGCTCGACACTCCCCTTCCTAGTAGCAGCTTGAACCGGTGATACAGGCAGTTGGAACAGCCATTTGAAAGCCTAGTTTGCGGATAAGTTCTACTTCAAGCTGGAAGTTATACCCACTAAGTTGAAAAGATGGAAATCCATCGCTGTAATTCCACCAAATTCCAAGCCTGAATTCAACTTACAAATAATAATAGCCTAGGAAAGCGTTCGAATTCTTTTCACAATCATATTCGTCAAGCTTTCAAAAACCTCCATGTACCATCAAGGTAGTGCGGATACAAAGTTACCGCCGTACGAGGGAGGAAGGGGAATACTTCCTATCCAGTTGTGACCCTTTAGTCTACTAAGCAGCTTATCCACACGCTAAGCAGAGACGAACAATTGATTGTACGGTTATCCACCAACGTTCAAAACAAACTTGAAAATTGGGATCGAAAAGCAATTTAAGTGGAGGACATTGTTTGTGATTGCGTCCCTTGCGCGCTGATAACGCGCAAACTTCCCTTGTTGATTTTTCTCGCTCGCGTAGAGTACCTTACTCTCAGATAGTTGCTAAGAAACGTTGCTGTTCCCAGACTTCTGTCGTAACTTCTCAGTAGGCTTTTCTGTTCCAACTTTGTTTACGGGTGAAGTGCGAAGTTAATCAGCTTCATGACGCACCTTTGCATCATGCAATGTCAAATGTTTGTTTCTCCCGCGAAGGTGAACGTGTCACAAAAGTGTTCAGAGTCCTTCATTTCTCACGGGTAAAGTTCAGTGACGAGTTTTCGAGCGCTCTGTTCCTGCTAGAGCACGGTTCGACAACAACTAGGTAGGATATATTGGAATTGATGCTTAAGCAGGGCCACTATTTCCGAGATAAGGGAAATTCATGGTGAAAGTGATTTTTATAAGTTTTATGGTGTAAAGGTGATTTCTGTAAGTTCTTTCGGCTCTATGATTTATAAGAACAAGTTGAGATGTTTGGACAGAATCAAGCCCAACTTTTTGTTCACGTGTAGTTCATACATTGAGACATAACAGTGTATACGTTTCTCGCGTTTCTAGTCTGTTATTGTTTGTTAACTGCTGTTTAACGCCGCAGTACGCGATCCGAAAGCTTTCACAAGAATGCTGAGTTATGGGCAAAAGTCGGACCACGGACGGGATTCGAACCCGCATCTTCTGCTTTCCGTGCAGCTGCGTTCCCTATTACGCTACCGAGGCCACTTTTGACCACTCAGCTCAATGGCTATTTGTGCCATTACCTTCAAGCACTCACACGTTCAACGTGATGAGCCGGTTAGCCGATATCGGCAGTGAACCGCAAGGCTGAAGGCTTTTTACAAGTTTCAAGCTGTATTGTTTGTAATAGGGAACGCAGCTGCACGGAAAGCAGAAGATGCGGGTTCGAATCCCGTCCGTGGTCCGACTTTTGCCCATAACTCAGCATTCTTGTGAAAGCTCTCGCGTCTGTTTGTCCTTTCAAGCAATATTTGTCAACATATTCGTATTTAATGTACTGTTAACCAACTAACCACACAGGTCTAAAAAGCCGCTGTCTGCTACCCCTTGCGCTGGTCACATACCTTGTTGAAATTAATTAGACAATAGTTCAAAAGGATTAATTTACGTTTATATGTGGCAGCGCCTTGGATGTTTTGAGCGTCCACCAGGATTTTGAGTATTCTCCAGCTTATTGAGTGGTTATTTGTACCTATACATCCTTTTCAAGACGTTGGTGGACGCTCAAAACAATGATTTATAAGTTCAGGAAGTCAAAGTGCATACAGTAGCCCGAAAATTGTGAAATGAATTGTGTCGGTCGTGAATACACACAACAGGCGCATGCTGTGACCTATTTCGAGCAGTTAGTCGTTACTCAAAAAATGCCTAAATTAGTTCATGCTCGACATTTTGCAATCTTGGTATGTTAGTTCGTTCTCGTAATTCTTCAAACCTTTTAAATCTTACGACTTTATTGGGCCTACCATCGGCTCGCCGGCTAACGCCGGCGCGCCTCCTTCTGATACGGCCCGGCTGCGCCGGGCGAGCGCGGCTTCGCCGCGCGTATTTTCTTTCACATATTTCTAGACTCAACTGATATCCGCCTTTTGTTCTGTACTCCACTTTTTTCCGGTGTCTGAAGTACTCTTGAGCTATTTTACAGATTCTTCGTCTGACTCCGCCCACCTCAGAGCAGACCCCGCCCACAATTTTTGTGCCCCAATCTTCACCGACGACCCTCTGCTGACCTTAATCCACTTTTTTCGGTCTTCGGAGTGCTCTGGGACCGTTTTGCAGATCTTTAGTCTGACTCCGCCCAGTTACCAGGCCCCGCCGCCAATTTTTTGTGCCCCACAATCCTCACCGGCGACCCTCTGCTGACCTTAATCCACTTTTTTCCGGTGTCTGGAGTGTTCTGGAACCGAGCTACAAACTTTTAAAATGAATACCCTGCGATTTAGGGCAAGCTCCGCCCACTGTGGGCGGGTCTCAACACACTTTCGAGCGTGCCCTGTATTCGCCGGATATTTACATTCTACACTGAGTTTGCGACTTCCAAATACTCTCGCGAACCGGGTTGTTGAATTTTGTGAGAAGCACCGCCCACCTTGAGTACGCCCCGCCCATTTAGGGTGTACCTGCCACAGTTAGTCTGGCGACTCCTTACTAACCTTAGTCCCTTTTTCCCCATCTTTAAGCTGCTCCGGAAGCGAATTATGAACATTTTTCTGCGGAATCCCCAAAATTTCGGCGACTGCCCCGCTCACTAACGGGCGGGGCTTCCCATAGGTGGAACTCTTCCAATCACTGCGTTGCTCATACAGCTCTGTATTGGTACAATCATAACAGATAGAGCAACCCTGCGGATCCTGCGTTCCATAGTAAACGCTTATACTTGCGGTCCGCGCCATAACGGCCATACAACACACAGACAGGGTACAGCATCCTTGTGTGAAACACATGGGGGGGTCGTACTTTTGCTCTGGGGAGGGGGTCGTATTTGGGGTGGGGTAAGACAAATTCATTTTGATAGTTGATTTTTTCTTGTGGAAAAGGGGTCGTATTAATTTTTTTTTTTATATGCACTATATGCATTCTGTACGCCCGTGGGATATACGTTGCATAGTTATTGTATACCCCCCGCGTGAACGTATTGAACAGCGACGACGATTGCAACCTCCATTATCAGCCCCTATCAGTAGTTATCGCTTCTAGTCACCCACGGTTGATGTCCCCAACTCACTCCCCATATCACTTGCTGAAACGCACGCCTCGCTGATACTGTGACCTGCGCTATGAATACGATGACCTCACTATTCTAACGTCCCTTATCGAATCTTATCAGCAGCTCACAGTTCTTATTACCCACCAATAATGTTTTTGGCCCTCATCCTATATCATATCTCGAAATCAAGAGCTGACTGCTGCTGTGACCTGCGCTGTGAATATGGTAACCTTTTCCTTCTAACGCCCGAATCTTATCAGCAGCTTACAGTTTTTGTGACCCACTAATGATGTTCTTGGACTATCCTCTATATCATATCTTAAAATCGAGAGCAGGCTGATGCTGTCACTTGCGTTATGATTATAGTGACCTTCTCCTTCTACAGCCCCTTATCGAATCTTATCAACTGATATAACTTCCTGTCACCTACCAATAGTGTTCCCGTCACACCCCGTACATCACTTCTTGAAATCATTGTCTCACTGCTACTGGGACAGGCGCTATGAATTTCGTGACACACAGACAGACGCACACACAAACATACACACACACGGACAGACATACTTAGCGGATTATATAGAGTAGGATGGGGTGATATTCATGATGTTTCGGCCTTCGCATTCGTCGGAGCCTGAAATGGTCAAAACACAAACGCTCACTGGCTCAAGTTAAACAATTGCTCAAAGTTACAATGAAAACAAACTGATGATCATGGGGGTGTTCAGATATAACAAAAAGGTGCCTACAGGCGTATGGACTGACAAAAAAGTGCAAAAAGGAAATTGCCCTGTGCGAGACTAATTTCGAGACCGCCGAACGTTTGACAAGCATGATCGTACGGCAAAGAGAGAGTGTGTTTGGCAGAATTAATGTTTGTTGATATCACAAATACAACAACTCTTCTCACTTGTCATCTCACCTTGACGTTAAAATCTTTATCAATTCCTTCCTAATTGTTTTGTCGAAGTCAATCAAGTAATAAGTTAATCGTTGTTGTGAAGTGGACGGGGCCCTGTGTCTAGGAAAGAGGGCACATTACATCACAAGTTCCTCGCAGTCTTTCCACTTTTCACATGCCGAAAGCGGCACAGTCGTCTATAGACCGAGACGAGGAAGGACGGGGTGTGTTTCAGGACTCACCGCCGCGCTGGGAATTAGGTCAACGCGCGCGGCGATTACATGCTTTAACGTGTTTGCATGTTTGAACATGTCTACCTGTTTGGACATGTTCTTGGCAGATGGAAGATGAGGAAAAGAGAGAACGCTCCAAGCAAACTGCGATAGGGTCATATTGATCGGAAGTTGGCAAAATGCCAGGTCAGGACTCACCGCCGCGCCACGCGAACAGGTCGCCGCGCGCGGTGACCTAGTTTCGAGCGCGGCGATGACTCCTAACCGCCTCTCGGAAGGAAGGACGTCTGCTCATCAAGTAATCTGCGCCTTTGGATATTTCATACTTTGAAAATTCTGTTTTGTGACCGTAAATGTTCACTTAGAAAATATTAGGAGATATCACGAATAAGGCAATGTTAGGCACTGTTCCTA